TAAGTGATTTGCCCAGGATCATATAGCTAGTAAACATCTGAGGAAGGTTTTAAAGTAAGGTTTTCTTGAATTCAACCTATGACACCACCTTAACTGTTTTTAGGAACTTAATTCTTTTGCTGAAGACATTCAGGAAAAGATGAAAAAGGTAAGGGGAATGGGTAGAGGAAGGAAGAAGTAAAATAGCACTTTTAATGAAGTCCAGGATTTTTAATAGAGTAAGGCCTAGCTGCCACTGAAGGAGGGTCCTTTACCTCTTTGACTTTTGGGGGGTAGGATTTGCATGCTAGTGGTTTTACTAGGGCAAAGAATATACACATTTTAGTGACTTCTGGGGTATAGAGCTAAAGTACTTTTCAGTATGGTTGGAACAATTCACAATTCCACCAACAGTGCATCAGTGTGCCCACAGTCCCTCCAACAACTTTCACTTTTGTGGCTTCATTTCCCAGAACCAGACAAGGACTAGCACAGATGGATGATCAAGTCATAGAATCATAGATTTGTTAGCTGGAAATCCTGTAGAGGTCATCTGATCCAACATCCTCACTTTACAGATGAGGCAACTGAGGCCAACAGGGTCAAGGAACTTGGTCAAGGTCACACAGGGCATAGGCGGCAGAGCTGGGACTCAAACTTAGTATTCAAACTCTCACCCCAAATTCACAACTTTTTCCCACGCATCATGCTTCTTCAGTCAGAATTACATGACTCCTGGTCTCTTTTTGGTGAGTGTTTCTTCAGGGGTCTGGTTTTAATAAACCACACAGTTAAATTAAAGGCTGGTGTGGTTTTGTTTCTGAGTAAAAAAAGATATGAAGCCAAAGAAACAACAGCCAGTAGGCTACTAAAATCTATTGTAATTTTTAACATAATGCTTTCTATTTGAGCGAGAATAAACACTCTACAGAACTGTATATTCTAATTTTACATTCCGATTTTATATTTTCCTTTCCCAATTATAGAAATGTATATATTTTTTTAGCGAGAGCAAACTCAATTCTACTCAGTTTTCATAACAAAAACTGACAAGAAACATTTCTATCAATAGAGTTTTATTATTTAATTCTCAGCTGCTTCAGATCATGTTCTATCATTTCTGGACTGTCATGGACTCAGAATCAAAGTGTGGAGGATTTCTAATGGTCATTTATTTATCTTGGCTGATCTACTGCCATTCATTTCAAATACTGGAAACTTTTGAAATGAATTCAGATCTAGGTACTCAGTGGCTCACCGTGCAAACAGACCCAACAAGGAACAACCTTTGAAATAGTAAAACATTTAATTGTGATGGAAACACTGATGATGATGATGATGATGATGATGATGATGATGATGATGATGATGATGATGATGAAAGTACCAAGCTTACTCCCACAAAATGATGCTCACGTCATCATACTCTCAGCAATTATTAATCTAGAAAAATATTCAGTAAGACAAAAGATAAAATTTTTTTATATAGTACAGAAAGTTTAAAACCAAAATTAGAGCTTATAGCTAGGGAAGCAGACAATTTAAAACTCAACCCGAACAAGAAGTACTAAAAGTACATGTATACACTAACAAAGGTACCCAAACATTTCTTCAGGTCATTGAATATACCTTCACTTCTAGTATCTACTGGAGAGTCTCAGAAGACTTCAGTAAAATGAGAGGTATTGCCAGGATAGAAAACCTGGTTTATCGCCACAAAGATGAAAAATTGTTACAGGTCTTTCATCAAAACAAGAGTCCTCTAGTACAGAAGGGTCTCTACTTTGCAAGGATCCATATGGACTTTCTGCAGGCCTATTGTACCCCAAGTTCACCTCAGATTTCCATTTCTCCAATTTGGCAAAGAGTTGATACTAGCACAAGTTCCAGAGAGTGGCTCAGACCAAACAGTACACATCTGGAAATAGAAGAGGATCTCATTGAGAAAGACCGTCATTCAAGGGGGAAAAAATCCCCCCAAACTACAGGTATTTAATATACATAATAAATATGAAAAATAGATCTCACTGCTATATACTATGCTATGCTATAGCTGCAAATCAATTGGGTACTTGCAAATACTGATGTAGATATGGAATTAAACTTCATAATATTTAGGCAGATATTTTGATATAGAGCACTATGTATGGATCAGAAGACCTAGGTGGAAATGCTAGTTCTGTCATTGACTGTGACCTTGGAAAAGTCATCTAACTTCTCTGGGCCTTGACCTCATTTGTTAAATGAGAAGTTGGAAGGGAACTGGATGGCCTCACTAGGTTCTTTCTAGCTATATATGTAGGAACCTACATGTTTTATAATGATTACATATAGAACGTATTGTATAGGGTGAAATCCATTAGGTTGATAGGGTTATCTTATTTTGATTTTGGGATTATACACTGGATGATGACACCTAATAAATATAATTTCTGAATTAGGAGGCCAAATGGATGAAGTGCTTATTGATGTGATAAGCTTGTTGATCAATCAATAACCCATCAATAAGGGGAACTATCAGCAGACTACTTTCAGAGAAACTCATAAGAGATCTATCAAAGTCAAAATAAAGGGTCTGTGAGGCACATTTAACTAACAAATCTTTCCTAGTAGATCTGTAGGAGAAGCAGAAAGGATTGGATAAGTGGTCTCACAAAGGTAGCATCAGTACTTTTCTGATGACTTCATTATTGTCCTACGCTAATGGACCCATGCTAGTGGACCACAAGCCTGATTATTATAGATAGTATGAAAATATATTGGATGAGCTGATGATTTAGGAGACAAACTTTATCCAGGACCAAAGTAGGATTAAGAGAAATTAGGCCCAGAAAACCTATGAAATGTCAAAGCAAAACTTAGCAGAATACAAGTTAAAATAAAAATCACCACACACGTCCTCTGAAAGTACAGTTCATTTTTTAGTTTTTGAAGAAAAGTACTCATTTGTTGTATAATGATCATTTGTGGATGTAATTTGTGTATTTAGGGAAGAAGCAAAGGTTTGTAAGTCCAGGCAGACTGACAATAGAAGAGCTAGAGCAAAAACAAAAACAAAAAGACCACTCCTCAGATACCCCTACCATGGGAATCCATACTAATGGGAATAAGGGATAGAGATAAAGGGTGGACTTTTTTTTTTTGCAATTGGGGTTAAGTGACTTGGCCAGGGTCATACTACTAGTAAGGATCAAGAGGCCGAATTTGAACTCAGGTCCTCCTGACTTCAGGGCCTGTGCTCTATACACTTCACTGTCCCTAAGGGTAGACTTTGGAAAGCAGTACAACAACCTTCATAGCCACCAGTATGTCAGGCATATACTGACTAACCATCCTAAGCTTTAACAGTTCCACAAATTTCCATAAATATTTTTCTCTTGTTCGCAAAGCTCTTTTGTTCACAGAACTTTTTCTCATAACCACTGAGAGAGTTTCCCAAGGGAAAGAACATTCCAATTACCCTGAACATAAAAATTACTCTTTCCCACATATATCTTCAGCCTAATTTTTGACATTATCCAATACATAGCCATGGTACCATGTCACCTTGTCCACAAATAAAGCTATAATTAGTGGTACAGCCCAATTAATGCTGTGGATTCTTGTGGTGGTCATTATCCTAGCCTCCAGCTTCCTACTATTTTAATCACCATACCAATAACCTCCATTGTACTGGCAACAGAAAACACTAGTTTAACTCCCTACTCCAGGCCCTTTATTTAGTTGCCTTGCAATAGGCCAAAGGAAGACTTCACCTCGAGGTGGTAATTCCCTTTAGCACCTTGAAACAGTGCTAACAAAGTCAGACGATTGTTTCTGTTCATTCCACAAGAATCAGAACCAATGAGATAGTCCCACCTTATCAGTCCTCTTCCACCTAGGGCCAAGGATGATGGCTGCAGTCATCAGAGCACTGTACTCACTAACTATAGGAAATCTGATTTTCACCTGTTTATGTCTATCCTTGCAATAAATCTTCCACAACTATCTCATGTAATTATTTCCTGCACTATGTGATTTCAGCCCAAACACTGATTGGATCACCCAAAGGCTAATATACGGAGGTGTGAGAAAACTTGGTGTAGCAGCTTTAGATAAATACTCCTTAGGCTAATGGGGAAAAGAAAGACTATGACAAAGGGAAATGTCAGGTAATTAACAGAAATACCATAAATTAATGAAAATTTAGAATGCTTAGCATTTTTAAAACTACCTAGAAAAATATGAATGATCAAAAAAAAGCACTAAGTGCTTTGCATATGCTAAGTGCAAGGGACATGGCAGCTAGGTGATGCAATGGATAAAGGGTCAGGCCTAGAGTCAGGAAAACTTTCTGAGAAAATCTTCTGAGTTCAAATCTGGCCTCAGACACTGACTAGCTGCATGACCCTGGGCAAGTCACTTAATCCCTGTTTACCTCAGTTCCCTCATCTGCAAAATGAGCTGGAAAAGGAAATGGCAAACCACTCCAGTATCCTTGCTGAAAAAACCCCAAATGGGGTCACAAAGAGTCAGACATGACTGAAACAAATGAACAACAATAAAAACAAGGGACATAAATGCAGGCCAGGGAGAAGTGTTTTAGTTTAGATTCTAGGGATTTGCTCTGTGAAGTTTGGATTTGAAGGGCCGCACTTGAGGACCTAGAGGGCCACAAGCTCCCCACCCCTGGTTTAGAAAATAACAGGGATAGTGATCGAAGAGTAGATTGATATACCCTAAGTAGCAATTACAGTATTATTTGATGTTTCAGAGCTGGAAAGATGTGGGTTGGGAATGGAGGAAAGAAACATGTGGAAGCAAGAAAGATAACTAGAAGATGGTTATGGTTGGATAGTGGACTATGTGAAGCACTAACCAATTAGGCCTGTACAAAGGGTAATGTCCTTTAGGATACGCTTTCTGGTATGGCAGGGCACATGTTGGTTGAAAAGATGACTGGGTTGCAAAGCTATAATCAGTTCTGTAAATATTAATTTAAAAACAAATTTATTTGCATTGTTCAGTGTATTGATTTATAAAGGCAATAATAAACATAATTGGGCAAAACAAATAGTGGAAAGCCATTTATTAAATAATTCTAAGGACATTTAGTCTCATCACTGTCACTGCTTGAACTATTACTATCATCATAAATAGAAGTGTTTCTAATGGAAGATGCCATCATGTCTACAATCTCTTTTTTAGGATTTTCTTCCAAGTCTGTTTGTATGGCTCCAACTTCTGCTAGTTTCCATTCAAGTTCTGTAATAAGAAATGGAACAATATTACTAAATCAACAAGTGTGTATTGACCTAGAAGAAAATTCAGGAAGATGAAAAGGTAAAAATATTTACATGGTACAGAAAGTTCAAAATTAAAGTTGGAGCTTATAGTTAAAGAAGGCACAATTTTAAATTCAACTGGAAAAAAGCATGAAAAGCAAATGGATTTACTATAAAATGAAGGTACCCAAACTTTCTGGATTTATTTTTTTTAGACAGTCCTGATTTCAAGGGGTGGGGGGAATATTATACTTTTATTAAGGCTTTACATGAAGCATATTCTTTTCCAGACAATGTGTCTTGGTTATGGGAGTGACAGCCACTATAAATAAACTATATTCTGACCTTTGTCAGAACAGACCAGGCAGAAGTTTCTGTCTCATGCATAGAATCTTGAGTTGTTGAGGCTGACACAGTGTTCAGTCTTGAGGGCCTTGCTCTAATTAGAACGTGGGCTGTTTCCCCACCTAGTCTCCCTTGGGAACATAAGAATCTGGTTTATGTCTCTCAAAAAGCCAAAAAAAAGCATTATTTATTTAAGGTAGTGTTGAACACAGAAAAGATTCTTATAAGCGCCCTTAGCCAAACAATAGAGAATCTCTTTCAAGGAGGTCCATTCCTCTCCACACAGTCTTAGGAAACTCATAGGCCCATTCAGTAAAGTGCCTGCTTCATAGGACACAGTGGATCCCAAGGCTGATGCAGTATTCTTGGGGTGGACTTCTTCTTCCATATAGGTAGGGGAGAGGAAGATGGTTTCCTCACTTCATCTTCCTTATTCTCTCAGCCTAATTCCAGAAGTTTACATGGCTCCCTCACACTAGTTTGCATCCAACCTCACTTCCAGGTGTCAACGTTGAGTGTTAAGAGACATTTCCAAACCATTTTTAGAATGAGCATTTCCAAAAAAGTCAAATCTACAGAGTAACTTAAAATACAGGAATTCCAAATGGTTAACAAAAAGTGAGTCCTTAATACTCTCTTGCAGGAAAAAGGAAAGCCTTGTGATATGTCAGAAGATGCAAAACTTTCCATGCTAAAAAGCCTAAAAACAAGTATAAAAAAAGCAACACATAACCACAATGGTATAAATAAAAAAACAAAACCACTTTTCCATGGTAATTTCTGTGATGCTAGACCCCAACAGTCCAGTTTTTCCTTCATATTGAGCAGAATTGTAAGTAAGTTATAATACATGGAACATTTAAGCTGAAATAAGCAGAGGAATCCAATATTCAGTTGCCTGGGAATGGCTGGACTGAATAATTTCGTCAACATAATATCAGAGTACAAAATAATATATTTTAAAAGTATGACTGAATGACCTTGATTTTGACCTGCTAAGACTATATAATATTAGGCTGCTTCTCTCTCATAAAGTCAGGGAATGGTAAGGACCAGGCTAGGACTTATCAGAATGCAGAAAAGTACCATGGTGAAGGTATAGAATCTATTTCCTTCTAGAGTAAGAAGCTTAGATTTTTCCAGAAAAGTCTGGATGCTGCCGAAGGAGGTACAATTCTTTGATCTGGAGGCCGCAACTGACAGTCTGTAACACAAGGGCAGCCTCTCAACCAATTCTCTTGATTTTTCTCCCCCCAATCATATGGTAGAGACACTCTTTCTTTCTTTGTCTCTCTTCACCTTCTGCCTGGGATTGATATCAGAAAGTGATGAGAGATGATGCTGGAGAAGGGTGTACTCAAGATCAGATAAGTAAAGATCCCAAGCCCAGAGTTTATGCTTCTTCACCTAAATGAAGGCACTACTGGAGCCTATTTCTATCTATTGGGTTCTCTTTTGCAAGTTTAAAGGTGAGCAGCCATGAAGAATAAAACAAACTCAAACTGTTCATTTCCTAGAATACTTAGGTTCAAAATTGCTTCTGTGGTTTTTGGGAGATTTCCTGGGTTCAGGAAATCAGGAAATTATTCATTGCTTTATTGTTACTATTTATACACACTTATTAATTCTTTTTAAGAGTAAATGCTACATGCAATATTCAAACATATTTGTCTACTTCTGTGGAGAATTAATTCCATTATAGCAAGGCCATGTGACTAGGGCTCACTGAAATATCATAAGTTCAAAAAAAAGGAAAAAAGGTTTGGTCAAGTAGACTGGGCCGCAGAATAGATTTCTAGACAAATCCACAAATCCATGCACATTTTGAACTAGTGTTGGCTTAAAGAGGCTGATCTGAGCCCCACAGAAAGCTCTGCACCCATTAAACACTTCTACCCATTGGAATGGATGTGCAAAACCTCTAGGTTAGGCAAGAAGCACTTATTAAGTACTTACTATGTGCCAGGCACTGTGTTAAGTGCTAGGGATACAAATAAATGCAAAGAGAAAGCTCCTGCCCCTCAAGGAGCTTACATTCTATGAAGACATGCAAAAAGAATGTATGTGTGAGGGATATGTCTGTGGAGGGGCGGGCGGCGAGGGGGTGGGGGGAGGGATGGTGTCAGAATCTGGAAAGGCAGAAGAACCAGGAAGGAAATGAAGTTGAATTGGCCTAGGATCCCGTCCCCAAAATGAAGGCCTTGGGAGGAACTCTCCAATGGCTGAAGGGGGCCCAGCATGGCAGAGGAATGTACTGAGGTAGAAGGATGCTCTAGATGAAGAAGCCCCAGGTGCTGAGGGAAGTTCTAGGATTAGATCACAGGTAAGTCACTGTCTCTAAGTCCAGACAGTCAGAAGCAGAGCCAGGAAGGGAAAACTAAGGGAGCAGATTTGCTCCCATTTCAAAATATTTTTCTATTTCTTCCTTTCCCAAGATAATTCAAAGCTATTTCCAAGACAAACATGCCACTCTCTGGTTTGCTAAACAAAGTCAGTGGCTAGCATCCGTTTAGCAGTTGAGATACTATACAGCTACCAATCATGCATCATTACAATTGCCAAAGAATCAAAATTGCTGAAGAACAACAAGAAAGATACACAATACATCTTAAGTAGGTTGTACAATATTAACTGAGGATGATTTGAATTCTCATAGTAACATAGAGGATGGCATCAAAGACCTGTTTTACAGTCTGGGTACAATCTAATAGGCAGCCAGAAAAATACTGTAAGTGCCGTTTTCTACGTATCTTTATAAATTACCTTTAAAATAACCCAAGACAAAATTACCTTCTAACTTCAGATTTATTCCTCCACATTCAATAATTCCGATGAATTTTCCTTCTATCTGACCATTTTTATACACAAAAACTGTGGGTAAACAACTGTCATGGTAGTGCTGAATACAGCTATTCACAACAGCCTTAACAAATTTGGTTTCTGGAAACTTTCTTGCTAGAATACTCAGATGTTGATTAAGTAGTAAACACATTTGGATGCTGAAAGACAAGAGGAATACATATATGTTATTTTCAAAAAATAGTATTCTAAGACTGAAAAAAATGTCAGAAGAGCTTATGGCACAAATGTTTCATTATACTGTCTTTCATTTCTGTTCAAACCATTTGACACTTTTTTCTTTCAGATTAGCTTGTCTCCACTCTTAGACTCTAGGAGTAATTCAAAAGTGTTATCTCGGGGGTTGGACTCCTGATCAGGGTAAGCCAAGGTAGCCTAGAACTTCCCCGGAGATAAATGTGGCCTGAGATGATTCATAATTTAGAAGGTCCCTCAGGGGCTACATAGGGCACTGGTAGTTCTAATGTATTCCAGGGAGTCACAAGTGATTTTGATTCATATCACCTATCACTCCTGTAAAGAACTTTTAATCATCTTAAGAAAAGAGAAAATAGGAAAAGATGGGTGAAAAGGGAACAAATCTACTCCCTCAGCTGTCCTCTGGACTTTCCATTCTGGCCCCATGTCTAGAGTGGAATGATGGTGGAAAGCAAGACCAATTTTTTTTTTTTGCTTTTTGGTGAGGCAGTCGGGGTTAAGTGACTTGCCCAGGGTCACACAGCTAGGAAGCATCAAGTGTCTGAGGCTGGATTTGAACTCAGGTCCTCTTGATTCCAAGGCCAGAGTTCTATCCACTGCACCACCTAACTGCCCCCAAAGTTTATCTTGATAAGCCATCTTGGAGTTTAACATATTGATGTTACATATTACCCCTAAAGGGAATAATGTGCATGAAACTACCTTCAGTAGTGAAGACACTTTGGGGCTCAAACAAAAAAAGAAAGTTCTGTTGTAACTCTAAATGAAAAGTAGATACTGATCCATTTAATTTCATGAAAATCATTTCAGCACTTAGGGAAAAAATATAATACCTAAAGGTGACATTTTGGCTCATTTTACAAAGAAATAACTTGAGGCAGAGAAGTACAAATAATTACAGCATCTATATGCATGCATATTTGTCTTCTAATACTGTGTCATTACTTTTGATAATCATCTCTTATAAATTCTAATTGCTTTTTTCAAATAGCCTATTGAGTTACTAAAATACACAAAAACTTTCAATGACATTACACATTTGCTATATGAAGTACCATGGTAATTTGGAAAGATCCCTGGATTTGGAATCCAATTTTTAAAAATATTAGATATTCTAAGACAATTCTGAAGGACTTATGATTATAAGTGTTGTCCATCTCCAGAGAAGGAATTGGTGGAACCTAAATGTAGATCAAAGATACTTTTTCTTTATTTTTCTTGGGTTGTTTTTGTCTGTGTTTTCTTTCACAGTATGTCTTACATGGAAATGCATTTTGCATGACTTCACATGTATAACTTATGTCAAATTGCTTCACTTCTCAATTGGGGGGAGGTGGGGAGAGGGAATTTGGAACTCAAAATTTTAAAAAAGAATGGTAAAAATTGCTTTTACATGTAATTAGGAAAAATAAAATATTAAATTAAAAATATTAGGTATACAATGTCCTTTTCTAAAGTAGAGTTTTATAATATGAATAAATTGCTATTTTATTTTTTAAAATTTAGATTATATTTGAATCATGGTCCAGCCTCTCATTACTACATGACCTAGGCATGCCACTTAATCTTTACAAGCCTCAGTTTCCTCAATTTTTATTTATTTCTTTTTCTTTTCTTTTCTTTTTTTTTTGGCTAGGCAATTGGGTTAAGTGACTTGCCCAGGGTCACACAGCTAGTAAGTGTTAAGTGTTTGGTCTGAGGCCAGATTTGAACTCACATCCTCCTAAATCCAGGGCCGGTGCTCTATCCACTGTGCCACCTAGCTGCCCCACAGTTTCTTGATTTTGAAAATGGTGATAAGACCTACATTATCCATGTAAGAGAGCTGATCTTTCACAAAAAAATGGGCCAGATACTAAGGTCTTCAGTTAACTTTAAAAATGCATCCATGACAGATGATCCATTCATGTGGTACAAATTAATCCCTTGAGTGAATGAGAAAGGAACTGTAAGAAACAGACTCCAAGGAGAACCCAACTTCCTGAGAGGATGAACAAAGAAAGGGAAGCTATAAAAAAAATAAAGGCAAGGACCACAAAAGGCCAGGGCTTTGGAATCAAAGCTGCTTGGGTCCATCTGGTCCCATGTTTGCTGAGACAGAAGCTACATTATAGACCCTCTGGACTACAGACCCCAAGGCAGTAATCCTGTATCTCTTTTGTTGCCAGACAGGGTACCTATTGGGAGGAGGCATCTACCAAAAAGAAAACAAGATTCATGGAATACTGAAGTATCTGGCCAGATGGGCCGTCTCTGGCTGAAGACTGAAATTTGACAAGAAGATGAAGAGAATTACAGAGTGAAGAAGGAACTCTTATACCAGCAACAAGGCAGTAGGTCAGGGACAATTAGGAGTGATCAAATCTCTTTAATAACTACATCATCCTCTTAACGCTACTACACCTACATTACAGAGTTGCTTTGAGAAAAAATGAAAGGTCAAGTGCTTTGTAACTCTAAAGAACTACATAAATGTAATATTATATCAACTTCTAGAAAAAGTGTCAAGAAAAAGATCCAAACTCCTATATTCCTCTGGAAAATACAAGAGGGGAGCCAGGGTAACAAATATTTGCTAAATGATATACAGTTGTAGCTCCTTAAAACAACAAATGTTCCCTTAAACATGCATATAAATCCAATTTCTAGAAATATTAGATATACAATGTACTTTTCTAAAGTGAAGAAGAGTTTTGTAACATGAATAAATTATCACTTTAGTTTCAAAATTTTAGATTATATTTTGAGCTCTAGCAAAATAGGACAAATCTGAATATACAAAGGAATTACAAAGGAATATATTTTCTTGCATTCAAAATAAACAAATGTTTTTATTCCCTATAGAAGACTAGGAATTTTTTTTTTAATTTCTGAGCCACTCAACAGAATTTCAAAGAACCATGAGGCAGTTAGGTGGTTGTTGTTTGTCCTTTGCTCTCAAAAAGGACCAATGACATCACAAGGGTGATGTCTTGACTTGCTTGTGAATTAGATTTTAGTGCCTATATGGCAACTATGTGGTGCAAAGGATAGATAGTTACTTGCACCTGGAGTCAGGAACACCTAAATTCAAATCCAGTCTCAGATACTAGCTATGTTACCCTGGCCAAATTATTTAATCTCTTTCTGCTTCAGTTTTACTTCCCATGGTTTGTTGTGAGGATGCAATCAGAAAATACTTGCAAGGCTCTTTGCAAATCTTGAAGCACTATACAAATGCTATCTATTATTGAAGCATATTCTCAACGTCTCAGGTTCAGAGAAACTTTGCTAAAAAACTGATACAACCTTTTATAGAATTTTCAGAACTTCCCTGTCCTATAAAAGTGAAAATTAAAAAAAATAATTTAGGTTATTTACCTGATCAGCCAATAACTAATACCATCTATTTTGCTATTCCGATCTAATCTTAGAAAAATAGAAATACAGTAGAACTACTTCAAATAGCTTGTCATGCATTCATCCCAACTGGGCAAATATCTCAGTTCTTCCCATGCCTATTAGTATGAAAATAGGCCTAACAGTGCTTACAATTGTTAGGAGCTAAATAGTTAACTTTTTTCCTCTTAACTGCATGAATAGAAAAAAACATTTCTCTATCATAGGTTCCCAAAGTGGGTGATACTGCCCCCTACGGGGCGCTGGAAGGATCCATGGCAGGGAGGTAATTGCCACCAGTGCAATTGGGGGTGTTGGATAAAAAGAAAGGGGTGGTGGAAGCATAAGGAAAGAAGGGAAGAATATTTCGAAAAACTGTTCATACATGTTTCATCTGTTGTGTAAGAGTTAGTCATAGTGATTACATTATTTTCCAAATAAATACACAAAATGCAAGTTTGACCCATCAGTGGTCAAGTCTGCCAACAGGTCTTAACAAGCAAGTATTGGCAGGCAAACATGTGGCACACTGTTGGAAGCATGCATTGGCAAGAGTGTGTGCGTGTAATGATTTGTTTACAATACTATCTACTATACAGTTACGTGATGCAATATTGCATCATCAAATTTTAGTGTAGGAAAAACCCCACAAATTTACAATAAATTATTAAATTTCTAATGCGTCATTTAAAAATATATATATTTTATATTTTTTGAAATCATGCAAAATTTTAAAAAACTATTAAAGGGTTAAAGAAAGTAGATTTCCAGAGGGGCATGAGTAATTTTTTTTTAAGAGGGTGGTATGCCAAATAAGTTTGGGAACCTCTGCTCTAGATACTACAAGTGGATAAACATGGTCAGAATTTGTGATAAGTTAAACATCTTTGCTTTAGAATGGTCATCCCCTCCTTATTTGGTATAGAATTTTATATTTATCAATTTATAAGAAAAATCCAATTTTAGAAAAAAGTTTTCACCTTAAGAGGTTACCACCACATACTGTAAATTAATTATTTAAAAGCTTCAACTATTTGCTTCAAAATATGCATTCTTTCTAGAAATCAAATCAATCAAGAAACCTGCAAACTTAACAAAAAAATACTTTTCCTGACCATAAACATGCATTTTAAAATCCTCTGCACAAAAGTAACATTATTTTTAAGCAAAGAGATGTGGTTATCAAAACCAGGACTGGAAACTAATTTATTTTTTTACTCCAAAAAGCAAAAACCAAAGGAAAACAAAATAAAACTTTGATGATTATTAAAAATTATTATAGGTATTCTCTTGAATACTGCTCATGGTATGTTTACTTGAATCTTAAAAACATAAAAACACATTTAAAAACACCACAGATTAACATTTTGGAGAAATAGAATAGGGATTACCTTGATCTATATAAGTGGATTATAACCCAGACATCTTTTTCTGCATTTGTAACTTCTTTCACATATTGGTCGCCAGAAATTTCTCTTAGTTCTCCAAATTTCTTTGTTTTCTGAAGAGCTTTCCATTCCTGCAAACGCTTTTGTCTAATTAAAGAAATGAAATTTTCAAAAGACAGTTGTTATAATGCTATTGGTATAATTTTACAGACCCTTAATATTTAAATAAGTATTTGTAAAAATGACTTTATATAGTTACCAATTTAATAAAAAATTGGAAAATAACACTGTATTCCAACTTTCTATTATGAATTTCTCTTTTGGCATTTTTGTCTTGCTCTTTCCCATTATAAAATACAGTAAAGACAAGACTGTCTACAAGTTCTATATTTCTGAAGCAAGAAAAGAAAAAGGAAGGTGTTTAAACAGTAAATGTTCACACCAGTGTTTTTTGTTACAATCAACAAGCATTTATTAGGGACTTACTATGTGCTAGGCATTGTGATAAGACACTAGGAATATAAAGACAAAAGTGAAACGGCTTTCCCTCAAGATGTTTACACTGGGAGAGACAACAAGTACATATGTAAGTATGTAAAAGAAATATATAAATACTTATAAAGTTATTGGTTGAGGGGATGGTGGAAGAAAGGAGCTAGCATCTGGGTAAATCGGAACCGCCTTACGTAAATGGCAGCACTTGAGTTGAGCTTTGAAGGAAACCAGGTATTCTAAGGACTGGAGAGGAGGAGAGAGTGTGCTACAGGTGTGACACCCTGTTATAACAATTTAGCTTGTTTTAAGATTAGGAAGGCACATAACAGCTCCTAAGACTCACATGGTTCCCTCCTTTTTAGGAAGTTTATCGTAGACAAAAATTTATGAATTCTATCTCAACTGCTCTGAAACTCCAGTTAGGAAAAGTCTTAACAATGAGGCAGAAAATGGGCATTTGCTTAACTTTATTACTATTTTTAAATTAAATGAAAATTTTTTTCAATTAACAAAAATTTATTTTCTCTCTCTTCCATTTCCCTTGCTCCCTACTGAAAAAAAAAGAAAAACAAAATGTTTGTGGTGAACATTCATAGCCAAGCAAAACAAATTCCTATATCGGCCACGTCCAAAAAATATGTCTGATTCTGTATCTTGAGTCTATTGACCTTTCTGTCATGAGGCAAATAGTATATTACTGGTCCTCTGTAATAATTCTGCCTAACTTTACATTTATATTAATAGGCAATCCTTAGGCCTCTTTATGACTGAGGCAAACTTGAGTTTACACATAATATCTGAGTAACAAAACAGCAGATTATATTACAGTGTCTATGGATAGAAAGGTACCAGGAGAGAAAGCAGGGGAAAGATCTTGTCTTCTCTCAAGGCTTTACTCAGCCTAAGTCTTTTGCTCTGAGATACTTGGAGAGCTGATGACCTGCCTTATGTATTTTTCTTCTCTGCCACAGCTTAGTCCTACCTTTGCTACTCTAGGGTGTGTCATAATGCCCCACTTGCTTCAGCCATTTGAATAAAGACAGTTCTAACTGGTGTGATAAGCTACAGATGTCCCCTCGGCTATGACCAAATTTTCTTGGAAGATCTGTATATAATTCTTCTGCAATGTCACTATGTTTCAAATATCTTTTCCATATTAGTCTAGAAGGCCTATGAGATTGTTTGATTGTGCATCTTATCACTTACTTTTCACCCCGAACCCACAACCCTTAAGAGCTTTTCAATTTCTGTTGAGGGTTTCACCATCTTCCCAATCATCCAGATTGGCAACCTTAGCATTATCCTCAACTCCTCACTCTTGCTCATCCCACAAATCCAATCAGTTGCCACATTTTGTTGTCTAAACTGCCATATCACTTGCACTTATTTGTCCCTTTTCTCTCCAGTTAATAGATACCACCTTTGTTCAGGTACTCATTGCTGGGCCATTGTAATGGCCTCCTAACTAGTCTTCCTGTTCAAGGCGCTCTCTCTCTCTCCACCAATCCATTCTCTGTTTAAACATGTCATTCCCTACTCAATCAACTCAAACATTCCCTACTTACTTTAGCATCAAATATAAACTTCTGTTTGCCATTTAAAGCCTTTCACAATCTGGCACCAAGTAACCTCTCCAGCCCAACTATACTGCCCTTCATATACTATAGCTCTAGCCAAACTGGATTCTTATTGTTCTTCATCCTTGCTAATTCAGTACTGGCTCCTTGCTTTTGTAGTGGTCTTCCCTGTTCTTGGGATGCATGGCTTCTTCAACTCTGTTTCTTAGAATTCTTAGTTTCCTTTAAGGAAATGTTGTGCTCAAGCCCAACCTTCTTCATGAGGTTTTTCTTGATCCTCCCAAATTTCTAGTGACTATTTTGTATTTTGTATATACACACATACACTTACATGTGTATATATAAATATTTTATTATAAATAACATATAAATATAATATGTAATTAATCATATAAATATATTTTATAAATACAAATATTATATTTTATTTGTTTTTATAAATATTTTATATATGTGTATATATATATATTGAGGATAGGGACTGTTTCACTTTTGTCTCGTGTCCTCAGCACCTCAGTGTTGCAATGCTATAGTTTTCATGTACCAGTTCCTTTCAAATCCAAATAATATAAGTGACATTAATAGAGACTTTACTGTACCTATATGTTTCCATAGCCCTCATATCTTCATCATCAAAATCATCTTCAGCTTCCTTCAATTGGGCAAGAGTCATTTTTTCATATGATTTAGCTAAAACATAATAATTCAATAACCATTAAATGTATTTCATACATGGAAAGTACTGTTAGAGACTGAGAAAGATACAAAAATAATTGAAATGAAGCTTACTTTCTAGCAGGCATATGCCACAGATTCAGAACAAATTTACAACAAAAGCACCGTATATACTATAATAAAAGCATAGGAGTTAAAAGGTTAATTTGTGAGGCTGGAGGAAATGAAAATAATTTCCAACCAGGGGTGGAGATGGATCACAGAAGGATACCTGGAGGAGGTGACATGTCAGTTAGGACTTAAAAGAATGGATAAGGGAAGAAGAAAGAAAAGAAAGGGAAGAGAATGAAATTCATGGTACAGGGAAAGGTGTGGATGAATGCAAAGAGGGCCAGATGAAACTACAAAATGATAAGAAGCCTAATTTGGTTAGTTGCATGGAAGGCAGAAATGTCACCTACAATTAGAGGGGGCTCCTGGGTTATGAAAGTGTTTGAATGCAAGGCTAAGGGGTTTGGAGCCAATGAGAAATTTTAAGTAGAGAAATAACAAGATCAGATCTACATATAATGAATGTTTGATTGTTCATACCTCATTCCATTAACATTTTTTTTTCATGAAATTCCTATTTACATCATTTGAAATACCCGAAATTCCACAAAAAATAGCTTGGGAAACAGTGTTTTACGGGATTATCAAATGAAGAATTAATTTGATGATGAAGAAAGAATACACTGTACTAGGATTCTGAAGACTCCAATTCTTGTTCTGTCCCTAACTTGCTGTGTAACCCTGAATAAATAACTGCATCTCTCTATGGGTCTATTTCCTCACAGATAAAAATAAGGGGATTGAACTAGATAATCTCTAGATTCCTGTGATCTATTACTCCTATGGTATCGTTACTCTAAAGATTATTACCTGCTGCTTCTTTCTGTAAACGTAAAACCATTTCTTCGGTCTCATCCTTTTTTTCTTCTTTTGGAGGAAGAATTCCAAAATCTCTTAATATATCATTCCACTCAGTATCTTCATTAGGATCCTATTTTGCAAAAGAATGGAAACAAACAAATCTGTTGTCTTAGGCCAGGTGCATCATGGCCCCAATTGCAAGTTCAGAAGCTGAATAGACAATCAATAAAGGAAATAATAATAATACAAAAAAACCCTCTTTCATTAAATACAAAAATCCAATAAGACTATACAAATAGGCAGTTCTTTGGGTCCCTCCACGTGGGGACATAACAAGATGAAAAACAAAAGGTTGTCTAGAAATATACAGTTTATCAAATCCAAAGAGCTATTCTTCCTATTTGGCATTGCTTTACATAAGATTATTTAGCCTACCCCACTTTCCTTGCTCCTATCATCTTCTCCCAGGACTTCAGATTTATACAATGGTGGTACAGCATTTTTAGAAAGAATAGAACCTAGTTTTGTGAAGGAAGACAGCTGTGGACTCATTTAGGTTTCATTCTCCATCTCTCTTGGTCACTTGCAACTTCTAGTGTCTACAGATTTCACTAGATGATTTGCCATGGTGCCTTGAAAAAAACCCCAATATCAGGAAACAAATGTAGGACACAAACCATAAACCGAACTCTCATAACTTTATATGGCAATCTTCAATTAAAGAGCTAAGGGGAAAGTCTGCTAATCAAAACCAGCATTTCCTAGTCATACACCATGATTCAAGTCTCAGAATCTTCCAAACAGGCATGGGGGGTGGGGTCAGAGAGGTCCCAGGGGAGTAACAAAGAGTAGTTTGGGCGTTATGGGTATATTTTAATTCAGAGTATTTCAGGGTGAAGAAAGTCACCCAATCTTGGAGGAGAGAAAAGGAGCTTTTGTTTTGAATAGGAAAAGGTATCTTCTCGAGGTTATGAGGAAAGCATACAGACAACATTACTAGAAATTGGTTTTAAGGGCTGGGGTGTTCTTCTTGGCACCCTCATATTTTTTGGACTAAATAATCAATAAAATAAAAAGAGTTTTAAGAGCAAGAGTAATGAGTTTTAAGAATAATAAAAAACAAAACCTTATTATCTACCACTTATAAACAATACATTTAAAAAACAAAGATATCCACAGAATAAAACTGAAAGATGGAAAAATGACAGTTCAACAATCATGCTATCTGACAAACATTTTAAAAATAAAAAGGGATTAGCGAAGAAACTACATTATTGTGAAAGAAACAAAAGGCAAACAAACCAATATAAGCACTAAATTTATATACTTCAAATGCTTTCCATGACCCTGGAAGAGACAGTGAAGCTGCCGACTTTGCACAATTCTGCCTCACTTAAATCCAATTCATGCACAAGTCAAGACATCACCCTATATTGTCAGTGATCCTGAACAACAATATTTACTGAGCTACAAAAATACAGACAGTAACAATAGTGACAGGAGACTTCAATGTCTCTCTCAGTTTATCTCAGGAACATAAACAAAAGGGAAAAATATGCAACTGAACAAATTGTTGGAGAAACTAGAGCTAAAAGACTTATGATGTCTTCTAAGTGGGACTGCAAATGAATATACGTATTTTTCAGCACAAGGTGGAATTTAAAAAAAAAACTGACCATGTTTTAGGGTGCAAAGATATTGCAAAGAAATGTAAAAAGGTAGAAATAGTAAATACAACTCAAAATTGAAATGGACATCACAGTTCATTTGATCCAACACATCCCTAATAATCCCTTCTACACCATCACCTACAGATAAACTTTGCTTAAAAACTTCCAGGGAAAATATTCCCACTACCTCCTGGAAAAGTCAACTCCATTTTAATAGCTTTTATTGTTAAGAAAAACTGCCTAATAACTGCTTTTGTGGTTTCACACAACCACAGAAAGTTAGAGTTAGAAGGCATTGGTCTATCCCTGAACAAAATCTCCTCTACAATATAGCTGGCAAAAAAGGTCACCAAGAGGCTTTGCTTGAATACCTTTAGTGCAGAGGAACCCCATAACTGTCCAAGGCAGTATTTTTTATATTGATAAATTTTTTTTTGACACAATAATCACTTCCCAATAAACAACTCTTCTTTACAGAATCATAGTATAACACTTAGGACACACAGCTAATGTAACTTCCTCCTTATAGTTTATTATATACTAAGAGAAAAGAAAAGTGTCTTTTCCCAGTTATCTAGAGCCATTCATGGATATTCTATTACATATTATGAGCACTGTATAAATTATTCTTTTGATTCTTCTTATTTCATTGTGGTTCAGTTCATGCAAGTCTTTCCATGTTTCTCTGAATTCTTTATATTTGTTGCTCCTTGTGTAACAGTAATATTCCATTGTTTATATTTCACAATTTGTTCAGCTGTTCCCCAACCGATGAGCATATAATTTGTCTCTAATGTTCTGTAACTACAAATAGAGCAGATAATGAATATTTTTGGTGTATGTGGGACATTTCTGCCTTCTTGGGGGTATAAATCCAGTATGTGGGATCATTGAATGAAAGTGATTAGTACTTTTCTCCTATCGTTTCAAAATGTTTTCTAAAAACTATGGATGACCTCATAGCTCTACCTACAGTGTACTGGGTATCTATAATTTAGTACTTTTCTCGCATACTTTCAAATCACCTTCAGTGTCTGCCTTCCCATAGCTCCTTTAACACTATTTCTGTCTTTTGCCATCTTCACCAATTTGAAAAGTATGGGGTGATTAATATTATTTTCATTATCCTTTTGAATCTTTATGTTTTTTTTTTACCACTTCTTATATGTAGCAAATTTCTAGAAATATACTACAGTCTACTTATGTCTACCATGGAGTTATAATTCCATTGCTATTTCAATCACTTGACAACCTTGAGTCTTTGGAGACTGTATTCTAAGATTTGGAAACAAAAAAAAAAAAAGGCATCCTTGGAACAACACTTACATTAAAAAGATGACTTTTTTGTGCTGGGAAGAAACTGTAATTAATGGTAAGCACTATGCAATTTTCTAGAGTCTTCTTTCTTTCTCTTTCTCCTCTCTGTCCTCTTTGTCCTCTCTCCCCTTCTGTGCCCAACTACATTATTTATCTTCAGTGCCTATCCCAGATACATATACTGGCCATCCAAATGAATATTGTTCCGAACAATAAACATTTTTGTCTATTGAGATTTTTCCATTATGGATTCTCAGGTCAATTAATTTTTAGATAAAGCATTTATTAAGCACTTACTGTGTGGCGGGCACTGTACTAAGTTCTGGGGAAGAAAGCAAGGAAGAAAGAAAAGGAGAGAAGGAAGGAAGGAGCCAAGATGATTTTTTCCCTAAGGAGCTTACATTTTTATGGGGGAAGATAAAACATAAAAAGGAGCTGGAAACGAATGGGGGAAGGACCTACATACCGGAAAGGCAGCTAGAAGTACAGCAGAGCAGGGAGTGAACTAAACATGGCTGAAGCTTTTCAACACACGGCCATCCCCACCAGGAACCCACCAATCACTTGTGGTCAGTTATAAGAATGGAGTAATGATGGATCTCATTGTGAAGCTGTAAAATGATGGTATGCAATAGGAAATGGTTTACAGAAACCTGCCTCTTCTTTCCTCACTATTTCAACAAGCATACCATTGATATGCATATAGACAAATCTCACAAAGATTTTAAAAAGATGACAGAGTAGGCAATTAGGTCAATACTTATTGATGTCCTCTCAGTTGCCTTTTGCGGGGTTAACCATTTTTGATATTATCCCTTACCTGTGCTACCTTGTAAGATGGTCCCTCAATTCTTTCAAAACTGTGCCAGAGGTGACACAAAGTTCCTCTCAAGTATTTTTTCTTAGTCTAGTCCCTCTTCTCAACTACTTTAGGTGTCATTTAAGTTTTCTTGGAAAGTCCAAATGGAGTCAAAGGTGGTGGTTTCACTCTGATTAATGATGGGGATGAATTATTGAAAAGTTGACAGTTCTGTGTTACTCTCATTTATTTGTGGTCTTCCTGCTAGTTTTGTCTATGGATGCTCTTAGGGTGATCTAGTTCATTTGGTTCTTACACCATGCTTACTATAGATGTATTTTCATGTCCACTGCTTTTCACATTTTGGGGGCAAAACCATTAATAATATCCTGCCATTTTCTCTGTAGTGTTTCACAAATAAATATGTATTGTAAATGAATTCTTCCATGGCTGCCATGTCACTGGATCATGACTTTGCTTTCTCAGACCCCTTTGAAATCTGCTCTCTCAAAATCTAAGGCACACAGTAAAGCTGTGATTCTTAACATTCTTTAATGGCGTGGGTCCCTTAGGCAGTTTAGCGAAGCCCATAAAATCCTTTCACAGAATAATATTTTAAATGTTTAAAATAAGTAATATTAAGTACAAAGGAAGCCAATTATATTGAAATATAGGTATAATAATATTTTTAAAAACAAATCCATGGACTCCAGGTTAAGAACCTCTGAATTAGAGTATTCTTGAGTTAACTCACCTCCTTTATCATGAATAAGATGAAGTAGCTACTTTTCCCCAAAGGTTCTTCTCTTTGTACACCTTCTTGGCTAGCTCCCATTGCTTCAATGATCTAAATGCTGATGATGCCAAGATCTACACTATTAATTCTCAGTTGCTCTCCTATCTTCCAAGGTCACATGGTAACTGCCTGTTGGACATTTCCAAATGGATATCCCACATATCTGTTAACCTCAACACGTTCAAAACATTGCTCATCTTTCTTTTTAAAAGTTTTTCTTATTTTAGATGTATCAAACAGGAGCATTTTAACAAAGAAAATAAAATTATATATAAAACCACGAAACTCTTTTAAGTACAGATTTATTTAAAACATTTAATAAATTTGCTGTTAGTTTCAAAGCTGAACTTCCTTATTTTCCTTCTTTTATTCTCTTTTGTACATTTAAAAACGCTTCATTAATCCTTTTTCTTTCACTTTTTTTTTGAGGGGGCATTACTATCACTAGCCTATCACACCTTCTGTGAAAGCTTTTGTGCATATAGGTTCTTTCACTCTTTTTCCAATCTCTTTAGATATAGACATAGTGACTTTTCTGGGTCAAAGGG